GAGCACGTTTTGACACCCCTATCTTTGACAGTTTTTAATGTTTTTTTTTGCTTCGCAGAATTGCTTCAAAATTTGTAGGCGTGTAGGTTACATCACAGAGAACTCACAAAAAAACATTCAGAAAAAAAAAGTTATTTTTAGGCCCCGAAATATTTTTTGGCGGGGACCGAACCTGGAGGTGTTCGGCCCCCGAACGGGACCCCGAACGCCCGAACGTTCGGGGGCCAGCCCGGGGGCCCCCGAACGTTCGGTCAGGTAACCCTGTATATATGTATATATATATATCGATCTATATACCTATCTATGTATCTATCTATCTCTATTCCAACCTAAGTATGCACAACACCTCGAAAGGGATTCTAATCAGCAAAAGACAAACCAAACAAAGCTAAAGAGAACATCCAAAATAAAAGAAAACCCACCAGAAAAGCATGAACCCTAGCCCCAGTGTTCTCTCTCTCTCTCTCTCTCTCTCTCTCTCTCTGTCTGTCTGTCTGTCTGTCTATTCGGAGGAAGCGAAATGAGAGGGCTCAATGAATAATCGATCAGAATCAGCAAAGATCCGGAAAACGAAATTGATATCATGCCCAAAGTAGGAGCTGTAGCAACAGCGATGTAACCCTGAGGCAAAAGTTGTTCAGTTTATTTTTCTGCATAACATAGTTTTTTTTTTTTGCTGGGACCTTTTCTGGTCCTAGCACGGGCTGGCCACCCGGGACCCGGGCGCCCGGCTGGTAATAAAAAAAAAAGAAAAGAAAAAAAAGAGAAGGCTGGCCCGGGCTTAGCTTGCATGGCAATGGTTGAAAAGAGGACATGCTTTTTCCTTTTTTGTGATCTTGGAGAGGCGACTGTACCTAAATGTGGTGTGTTTTGTTGGATTCTCGTCCAGCCACATCAGATTTTTCACGTGCAGATGGAAATGAGGGACCGGGTCATGGTGAAGAGTCCGAAGACCCCTCAATATAGGCTCCTGGATTGTAAATTGGGATGCTGGAGCAGGTTTCCAGCAGGTGTAGCTCCCCACCAATAGATTGGAGCCATCTTCTTTTTTTTTTTTTTTTTTTGAAAGGCCCAAGAATGAAGTGGATCATGAACGGGATAGATATGTCGCTCTTATTTTTTTTCGTTAGGTCGAATACTTCTTTTAAATTTTAATTATTCTGTTTTTTTTTTGTTTGTGTGTGTGTTGGTAATTTGTTGATGCTGCATCACCATTGGTTTCCCGACGACGTTGTCGAGTCAACGCCGGAGGAGGGCTGCTCATTATTGGAGTCCTTTTTTCTGAGTTCTTGCAATTTCTTGGCGCTGGTTGTGGCGGCACCAGCCTGTCGGTCCCTGCGATCTGCACAGACTGGATAAGTTATTTTCCTCTCTATCTGTGCAGATGCAACAACATGCAGAGAAACTTCACGACATTGAGTGATCTTTTACTTCGATCATTAGTTCTGTGTCTGGAAGGGAAGGCTCCAGCAGGTGTTGCTCCCCACCAATACTTCTTCAGAAGGGCGACGGCCTTGAGATATCGTCATTGAACTGACCATCCCTTGGTAATTCAGAGTTCTTGTAATCTGGTCGACTGATGGTATCTGGATTCGAACTCGGGTCCAGATTTCAAAAGTTCATGGGTGTACCAACTGAGATAGGCCCGTCGGTTGCACCCTCCTCTTGGCCTTGACCCTGGTAGAAACCTTTTTTTTTTTTTTTTTTTTTTTTTTTTTTTGTAAGGTGATGGCATCTGGATTCGAGCTTGAGTCTGTATTTCAACAGTTCATGGGTGTACCAGCTGAGCTAAGCTCGTTGGTAATCCCGGTAGAAGCCTATGCCGTAGTAAGAAATGGGAACTACCTAGATATGTGGTCCTCGTCTTGACATCCCCTGGTTATGGGGGATTTTTTGAACCCTCCTCTCGGTCTTACCCCAGCAGAAACCTGTAGGAGATAGGAATTACCCAAGCTCCATGTGGCTTCAGCCCCCTCTGGAACTTGCTGAGAATACACAATTGATTTCAACCGAAAAGAAAGGAGAGAGGGTTTTTGTCCAAGCGCCATGTTCTAACTGAGAGTCACGATCTACCCCGCCTTCTTGAACTTGCCGGGACACATCGGTTTTGACTTTCAAGTGAAAAAGAAGAATACCCTGTGAACCAAAGAAACAGAATCAAGATAGCCAGATAGCCGGTGAACCAAGCAAGAATAGCCTGTGAAGTTGAATCTGAAGAAGGATAGCCTATGAACCAAGCGGACATAGTCTGTGAGCTAAAGGGAGGATGGACCAAGTGTGTGGGGGTCATACCGGCCGGCGGGCCCGGCGGTCTCGACCCTCCATCCCTCAGTGATACCGGGGTAGCCGAGTATGTTGACGCCATCGCCACCTGAGGTGAGGGTCGACCGGATCTGGGTTGACGAAAGGTGAAGTGCAAGTGCAAACGGGAGCCGTGAGCGAGGTGATTGCATCTCGCGATCAGCACATAGAAGGCGTCCTTGCACAATAAGGACAGCGGGTACGGTCAGGAGTGAGGGACTGAAGACTCTACAGGTAAGTGATATGGCTCTCGCAGGCGATCTACAACATGCGGCTGCTCATTGGATCTCCACCCTGCATGATGGTCGGCACCGACTGCTACAGATGGTGGCTGCTCTCTCTTCGCCGGCGTCGAAATGGATGGAGGTTGATGGGGGAGCGACCTCCCTGTTCCGCTGGGTGGAGAATACCATGGAGCTCATGTTGGAGGTGGTCTGGGTTTTGGAGCAGGGACCCGATTCTATGCTTGATGCCCTCCTCGATCAGCGCCAGATGGACGATCTTATAAGCCAGTGCTACGAGCTGCTAGACGAGGGCCAGGTTCAGGGGACGGCCCTGGTCCATCGCTTGAGTGGAGCGCTGCCAGTGAGCATGGGTGCTCCTGATCAGCTACTTGTCACCCACTCAGGAAAGGCAGTGCAGGGGCCAGCGCTGGTGGAGCGCTTGGGCGGAGAACTGTCAGTCAACTCAGCGGCATATGGGCAGTCTCCTATCACTCAACCTGTTACGACATCTACAACAGGATCACATATTATCACTGCTATATCGACTACAACATCTACATCTGCGACGATTGCTCCTGTGTGCAGTACGGAGGTATCAAACGAACTGGGAGCTTTTTCTATTCAAATGGTTGCTCCTGCGTGCACCACGATGACATCTGATGGAACCGGGGTGCTTAACAATCAATCATCGAGTTCATTGACATTCAAAAGGTGACGGATGCTCCTGTGGGCATCAAGGAGATATCAAACAAGTCGGGAGCTGTCTCTATTCAAACAATTGCTTCGGCGTGCATCGCGACACCGTCTAACGAAATGGGGGGATTTTGCAATCAGGCATGGAGCTCACCATCAACAGTATCGACGATACTTCCTGCTGCGGGTGAGCTGTCGACGGTTTTGCCGAAGCCAGCGGGGAGTGAGGCTCCTGTGCTTTTAGCGGGGATATTAATTGGCATGGCTTCACCACTGACATTGCCTCCATCACCTTCATCAATTGCGCCTGTTGTCCCGACACTTGCTGTGGAGGCTTTGCATGATTTGGAGTGTTCTTCTACAATCAGGGAGACTGTTTCTTACCTTCCATTGGGCAAGCTGGCCCTCGGGTCTTCACACCGATATGTCCTTCTCACCTTTGCCATTCAGCCTTTCGCACGTGGCGGCGTGGGGTAGTGTGATGGGAAGTGGAAGGCTCTCCCTCACCCCTCCCTCCTTTCTTGGTTTTCGTTTGTATTGCTCTGGCTGACAGAAGGAAGAGGGGTGGAGGGGTGCTTGGAGAGGAAGCTTCTGCACCTGCGGCTGATTGGTGTTTAGCTGTTTTAGTCTGATGGATCGTTTCCACCTTGAACACATGCGCCCACCCTTTTGGCGTGTCCTATGTTCAGATTCCGTAGCGGTGGGGTGCCATGAGTACTGTTATACCTTGGTCATCATCATTCAGGGTTTCACTTGGTTTGATGATCTGTAGGTAAAGATTCTAATTTTCTTCCAATTAGTGTGCTCCCCTTCGGTTTGCGTCTGTGTTAACTACTGTTGCTCAGGGGAAGCTCGACCTGATTACTAATGAATCACTAAACTCTTTTGCCCTGTTATCATTCTCTTTGCCCTAATGGTATCTCCCCCACTCGTCACCGTGCAGAAGATTAAAGTAGGGGTAATTGAGGAGTGTAGGGCAGAGCTTGATTCTGCACACAACGGGGTTAATCTCTCCTCACTGGGGAAGCAATCAATGCCCCGGGCTCATGCTATATTCGTGCTATACAGGGAAGCTGTCTCCAGGGGAGCAGTGGCTGAGGCTCTTCCAGCCCTGATGGGAAGAGGCGTGTGTAAGTGTTACAATCAATTTCATAATTGGAGCCTTGGGCACTGGGTCCTTTTTCGTCAAAAAAAGAAAAAAGAAAAAAGAAAAGAAGAATTGTGGAAGCTATACATAGCCTGGTCACACCAAGAATTAAGTTTACCAGACTCCCAACTAGGCTTGGCTGTCCGCAAACGATTGTTGGATCTATCCTTGGAAATGAAAAGGTGATAATGTCGTGATGGTATTGTATGCTGTGGGGCAAGAAGGGAGGGCTGTGGTGTGAGGGAGGGTTGGGCAAGTGGTCAGGGACTGAGTGGGCTCACCGAACAATAAGAAGAGCGATTAGGATGTGCTGCTCTGACTACACGAGTGTACTATGCCAGAGGGCCATAGCGTTTTTTTTGTTTTTTTTGTTTTTTTTTTGTTTTTTTTTCCCCCAATTGGAAACATGCTCCGATCTATTCGTGGGGAGCAGCATGTGCTGGGAACCGGGCCCAGCGTCCCATTCAAGACCATATTGAGAAATTGAGAAATTTATGGACAAATCTTTGAGATAACGTGGCCATTACCTGGCTTCGGCTAAGAAAGACAACTGTGTAATCTACACAAGAGCACTAAATTCCCTAACCCCCAAAGCTCGGATCAAAGGAGCATTCAGAATGAAAAAACCACCTGCCTTAGGGCCTTTCAGCAGCCCAACCCTACATGCCTCACCCCTATATCCCGAGGCCCAATCTCTAACATGCCCCCAACTGCTAGGTTACAGAGTGGCACGACCCACCGCAGAAGGCCCCGACCTGCTAGGCCACAGGGCAAAGCGACCCGCCCCGGCTCCGGCCAGCATCGACTGGGCACCAGCTCACCAAAATGCACTAGAGTGCCTTCCACCCTCGACAACTCCCCGGATTTCTCTACCAGGTCTCATGCCCTCCTACAGCTTGAGTTTCAGGCAGCGCAACCAAGACCCAACACCGACCAGCATCGCTCTCGCCTCATCTATTCACAAGTCACTGGGACTCAGGCAGTGAATAGACCAATTGCTACTCAATAGGAACCTTTAGAGGAAAATTTAGGAAAACCATGGATAACTGCTGACCAATTGCTAGGCTACTCAAGCAGCAATTACTAAGTAAAAAAGGAGAGCCACAAACCCTTGGAATCCCTAACAAAACCCTCTAAAATTCTCTAACACTGTTTTATTCCCTGTCCAGCTCTCCCATGCCTCATGTCCCCGCCTTGCTAGGTTACAGGGCAACACGACTCACCCCGGCTCCGACCAACAACCCTCGGTTTACCCTTGGAATGCTTGCCCCAAGGCATCTTAGATCTCTCTACCAGGCCTCACGCTCCTGCTATCAACATGTTACAGGGCAACTCCCCAGCACCGACTATTGTTGTTTTGGCATTGAAAAACCGTAAATCCATGAATATAACAACACCGAAGAAGTTGAAAGTGAATTGCAAGAAGTACCCAGAATCCTAATGCATTCTCAAGACCACCGAAAGCAACTGAGAACAATACAATTCTTTGTGGAAATTGAGAACCATTTAGGATAATTTGGAACTCGATATAATCAAAACCACGTTACCCCAGTGCTATTCAACCGACCATCCTACAACTGCCTCAACTCACCTATCCTCGATACCAAGCTCTAGCAGGCCTCACGCCCACAACCGCTGGGTTAAAGGGCGGCGCGACCCACCCCAACTTCGACCTGCGCGGTGTTAGTAGCAACTCGCAGTTAGCCACTGGATTGCCTTCCACCCTCGACAATTCTCCTGATCTCTCTACGAGGCCTCAACCCCCCACATAACTCAGGTTACAAGGCAGTGCAACCAAACCCCAACTCTGGCCGGCGTCGTTCTGGCATCGGCCAACCTTGAATTCGTGGATATGATGGTGAAACCTGCCGGAGGACGATCCGTTGAATCCACCACCGCGACTAAGGTTTCAAAATATTCGGCTTCCCTCGTGCACTGGTCGTGCTTGACATACCCAGACCACCTAAACCTTTCCCCTAATCTCCACTCCGGCAAGACTTATCACTGTGGAGCCACCGTCTCCATCGCTGTTGTGCCCTGTTTCTGTCCTACCAACTAGCCCCCTCGCGAGCAGGACGCATCATATCCTTCCAACTACTCACCCCACTTAGCTAAAAGACACTCACCCTTACCTATGTGACCCCAACATGGAGGGGTAAGCTGGAGAGACAAAAACCCACCATCCAAATCCGAGTATATCAAACACGATCAGTGCAAAAATAAGGTACTAGAAAACAACTCTGCAGGGCGAAATTCCAATACTTACAAATTTAGGTCCTTTAGGGTTTTCAACTCTTTTATAAGATCAATATCCATACACAAAAATTGCTCAACGAAAAGCAAAACTTAGATAAAAAACAGGATGTTGCTATTTGAAATTTCAAATTATGACATCATAAGCTGTGTAGCATTGTGTTCGGGTTCGGTGGCGGAACCCGAACGTTCGGGACCGAACGAGAACGAGCGCCTAAAGTTTCCGAACGCGAACATAAAAAAAAAAAGCTCTCCAAAAAAGTCTGAAAAAACTATATGTTATGTAAAATAATAATACAAACAACTTTTGCCTTGGAGGTATGCTTAAATTCGTAACCAAACTTGAGTTAAAAATCAAGAACAAAAAAAAAGTTTTTTTTTTTTTTTTTTGAATATGTTCGGCCGAACACGTTCGGGTGGCGTTCGGACGAACACCCGAACATGTTTGGACGATTGGAAAAACTCTGAACATGTTCGGTGTGCTACACAGATCATAAGTACAAAACATCAAATTAAGTGGCTGAAATTTGGAAAATAAGATTACGAGATGAATTTTGAAGTCGAAATAGACTTATAAATCTTACGGCTGTGGTTTTCAAATCCAAGGATACAAGAAGTAACTAAAAAAAATTACCAGATGTTGTAATCTGAAGACTAATTTAGATGGTTATACGAGTACAGAGCAAAGTAGTCGATTGTAAACTTCGACAATCAATCTTTGAAAAAAAAAAATTACGAATAAAAAATCAGACAAAAATTAGATTTCCAAATTATCCATCGGATGTTAAGATCAATAACATTTAATTCACCATCCAAGAAAATATCAGGAAATATACTAGGTTTTGATTTACAAAATGCCAATGAAACATCCCTAACCATCAAATCAATTATCGGGGCAGTACTTAGGGTTAAATTTTGAAAAAATGCTGCACTCAGAGCTCCCGTCGCTACATGACGTCGCCTTGGACTTCACTTGAAGTCACCAATTACTAAAGATCAACACGCACTGCTCCGCTCCCGCAGTCCCCTTGTCGAGCTGCCCAATCGTTGTCTAGACCAAACTCAGCCCCTGCTCCTTCCTATGGAAGAAGTCACTCCTCCTCCTCACAACCGGTGCTAGTATAGCCCTACGACAAAGTGCACCAACTAGAAGAGATCAGTGGGACGCCCCCCGCCTCCCTGTTACTCCCCAAACGTGGTTGCTTTGTGAATGACCATGTCAAGCCCGTCAACACAGCTTCACAGAGAATTCATCCAACGACACATGATAACAAAGAACCGGAGAAGCGAGAGACAAAGATTAAACACACAAGTTTGAAAGACACCCCCGCGTACGGCTACTCAAAACCACATGTCCCTTTTGTCTCCACATCCACGAAAGTCTCTAAGAAGCATCATCGCCACACATGATATTGACCCGCCTTGCCCTCGTGAAAGCGCCATCGGAGCTTCGCGTTTCAATGCGTGTTAGGGTTATTTGCAATAATTCGATAAGAAGTTCAAAAGTTTGAAGTTGCATTGGGAAAATGACAAGCATATCAAACATTTGAACGGGTTGCAAATGTGGGTCAACGAACTCTTTTCTCCCCTTCAAAAAAACGAAGTGCCTAAGGCTTGCATTACAAATTACAACATTTCAATTTCGCGACTCGAAAATCTGCATAACCCCAGGAGAGAGGTATTGATTGCTTCCCCACTCCTGGCCAAGTCCATCCCCAACTGCGGCCTGAAAAATGCATTGGCACGGATGGTTAGACAAAATCTCAAAACACTGACAGAAAATAACCTCGGTCTCGTAATTACAATTAGGCTGAAGCCAAAATCCCTGTTTATCCGTTAATTTACTTTCCCCACCTATCCTCTAATTTACTGTCCTAATTAAATTTTCCAATCGTTAATTCTGATGGCAGGCATAACAAGCCCTAACTAATTAGATACCCACCCAGCTTCGACCCCAATTTATTTTGAAAGTGGAGCAACGGCCCAAATCCTGACCTATCCTTTAATCTACTATCCCAATGATTAGAAGTCGCTCATCAATTCCAACACCCTACAAAAGAAACCCTAACTAAGCAAATGTCCACCCAACCTACACCAGCGAACCCCAAATTAGGGTTAAGTACCAGCGGCAAATTATCCAATCAGACCAATACCAATTCAACGTATTAACTAACAATCATTCGCAAAATCAAGAAACCTAGTACTAATTTAGAAAATGATAATTTGCAAAATACCCCCATAAGTTGAGATATATGCCAAAATGCCCCTAAAAGATGTGGGTGAAGCGGAATGCCCCGCTGACAAAAAAACTATTTTGTGAAATACGGTTCAAATACCCCTAGCTTCGGTTGGACCCCCATCTTTGCAATATACCCCTACCGGGCACCGTCCAACTTAAGTTTGCAAAATGCCCCAGTACTTGCCAACTTTTCCTAGGCGGCGTAGGCACTATTGCAAAAGGCCAAGGCCCAAACGGTGTTGTCCAG